TTCTTATTCAACTAGACAAATCGGTTGTTTTTAGGTTATTTCCTTTACTAACTACTTTGTGAGTTAAAAAAAAAAAAGTTTGCTCGTTTCTCTATTTTACGCCATGTGTGTGTCTGTATAAATATCTTAAACAACTTAAATGTCTACATACACACACACACACATACTTAAATATACATCTATGGATCCTCCTGTGCTTCTCCAACAAGAGGCCAGTGTGCAAAGACGTGCACTCACGTGGCAGAGCCTTAAGCGATATTCTTTTGGCTCCGCCACCCCTCTGCAGAGCCAGGGAAGGGCCTCCCGGCTCCGGTGAGCGGGAGGAGAGTAATAAAACAGCAGCGAAGGTCTGGGAGGGGAAGGATTTTGCCTGGCTTCTAAAAATTGCCTTCACTTGTAGCGCTGTGGTTGATTTACCAGTGGGGAAAGGAATCCAGGCGCCAACAACGGACCATCACATAGCACTCCACGAGACGCCGTCTCCAAACATCCGCGGAGGTGCATAATGCTGACTGTGTGTTCCCAGTAGCAATCACACAGAAGTGCTTTGTGGCTGAAAGTGGAGGTTTCTACGCCTAGATTCTTCTTGGCAAATCAGGGTGGTATGTGAATTCTGAATTCTCTTCCACTTTGCAAAGCTCTATCCCTTTGTAACCTGGGGAAATACCATCCCCAACCACCTGTCACCCTTGGCATCACTGGTGGCACTAGGGGTGAGGTGCCGGAGGCCACTGAAAAAGCCTCGGGTTAAAGGGGACCATCATAAGTAATGCCCACCCACAGGGAGCCCTGATCACTTCCCTCCCCACTCCAGCACGTGGCCTGACAGACCCGTGGGGGTCTGGATTCCTTGTCCAAAGACAATGATTACACCTGACTCACATCCAGACCAATTTCTCCTCAATGGTATGTGTGCTTTGCAACAAGAGCTACTGTTCTTAAAATGCATAGCCTCTATTAGGATTTAGAACCTGCTAATGGAATTAGCTTTGAAAGAATTGCCAAGAGCAGCATTAAAGGACCCTCCATAGGTTATTAAAGTGAGCCTTCTCTGCAGAGGGGCAATAAGCATAAGCAAAAGTGGACAAGTACATCCATTCCCTTGACCTGGCCACCTCCTCCCTCCGATCCAAGCCCTGACTACCTTCCGTTCAACTCTGAAGGTTGTTCACTAGGGTCTTCTGCTCTCTGAAATCCCTCCTGGTGAGCACGGAGCACACGCTCTATGGAGATGGACAAGCCCACTCAAGGCAGAGACGGCCTGTTCCCTCCGAGATCCCCAGTAATGGCGCCGGTCCACAGTAGGTTCTCAAGGCGTGCTGGCCCAGGGCAAAGCTAACTCATCCCCTAGTGTTCTGCCCCTGTCGATCCCAGCTGCACACAGGAATCACCGGAGGAGCCTTTTATACAACATCATTACCTGGACTGGTCACCCAAAATTCTGCCTCGGTCTAGCCCTAGGCAGCCTCAAAAGGGGTCCCCTTGTGCAGCGTGGGTAGAGAGCTATTGTGTTGACTCTCTTCTGCCTTCTTGATCCCTCTCTTAGATATTTCCTGCCCTCGAAGCCCTCTTTCCCTTTTTGTGTTTTTGTTTCTTTTCATGTCCAGTGACTTCAGCAGACCTGATTCAGCCCTCTGTGTAAGCTGCCCAAGGAACATACCATCAGAAAGACAAACACTGAGGGACTCGTGGGAGTGACAGTGGGTAAGAATTCATTCCCCAGTAGATTCACTCGGCTTCCTTTCACATGGCTCTTGAACTTGATGAAACAGGGACCACCCATTTTGAGATGCATCAGGATCCCTCGGGGTTAGGGTGAGGTGTAGAAAGATGTCTTACCCAGCAGAATGAGCAAGACACCAGCCAGCTGCGCCCGCCGGTACTTGGCCACGCCAGGCTCGTGGCCCATTCGGATGCAGGGGAGGACGGTCAGCAGCAGGAGAATGGCCGGGAGACCCAGGACAGAGGCTGCAATCATCAGGGCTCGGCAAGCCTGCACGTAGCCTGAGAACAAGCGCACAGACAAGAGTGGTGAGCCTCTGGTCCTCTGGGACCCTCAACCCTGCCTCCCTCCCACCGTCTTGCCCCACTCCTAGAATGTGATAAATGTTGTCCAAAAGTCCCACCACTTGTTAAATGTAGTTGCACTTCTAAAGTAACTTGGCAACCCAAAAGGGTGTTGGGCACGAAAGAGACCGGCTGGCCAAGCTTCCAGGACGAAGGTGACAGGAGCCCATTAGCGACATCACTGCATCACCTTGAGGAAGTTCTTGGTTAAGAGCCTGGAAGTCATCCAGGAAGCCTTCGGGGCTGGTCTCTGTGGGCTCTTGTCTGCTTATCTTCCTGTGCTTACCTGTGTGTGCGACTCTGGCCAAGGACTGAATCACTGGGTCTGCCTTTCCTAATTGAAGACAATAAGAGACCTACATCTCTCTAAAA